ACGATACGATATGTACCAGTAATAATAATTTTTTAAGTAGATTGTAAAGGACAATGGCGGCCATTTTGATTTGACCTTTAGAAGGTCAAGGACTCCAAGTACAGCCGTGGTAGAGCAAAAAATGGATTCAGTGTAACTGAATTATGTAAGAACGATTGACTACCTGCTTGTACTAAAAAATGCCGTTAGACTCTTAACGGAGGCTCTTTTCTGAAAATCAAACCTGTCTATTACAATAATTATTACTTTTTATTGTTGTTTTTTGGTGCAAGTATTAGGAATTTTGAATGGATTTGTTTTTAAAGATGATGGAGATATTGGTGAAATTGCACAGCAATTATGTGATTTTAAATCCACAGATATACCCACGGTAAGTAGCTCAGAATTTAATTAGTTAGTTATATAATAATTTTATTTGTTTTAAAACTTTTTTGATTTGATTTAGATCTAAACTTGGATGTCATTGTCACGGCTGTAATTAAAGCCGTGTGTTCATACATAAAATATTTATCTTTGTATATATATTTCCGTTCATCAAAACTCAACTGTGTATTTTTGGTAAAGAAAATAACTTTATTAGCATGAAAAGTAACGTTTAAGATCTCCATCCTTAAAAGTCCGGTTCTTGTGTATTATTATATAAGGAATGATGTATGGTCGTGACAGAAGTCAGGATTTAACCCAAAGTTTTTTGGTTGAGTGATAGAGCATTGATCCTTACACACTGTACTGCAAGTAAGACAGAGTAATTTTATAAGTTGTTTTGTGCATATATATCAACATAATTATTTGATTTAAAAAAAGGCGTGAGACGATGACAGCGATACTCGTCTATTCGATAAACAATAAATTAATTAGATAATAAAGTCGTCAATATAAGCAAAAATGATAACCGTTTAAATGCCGACCTAATAACCCTTAAGCGAGCGTACTGAAGAAATCTGATAAGACATTTATTCGTCATTAATTGTAGCGACACGCTATCCAATTGCAGGGAAATCCCCGTATACAATAAAAAGATATCCAATTAAAGGGAAAATGCCATATATCGTGACAGTAAAACAAAGGTATTTTTAAAGCTCCTTCTTCTATTGGTCGTATACTAATACTAATCTAGGTTCATTAGAATACTATAGATGGACCTTTTTGATGATCCAGAACAAAGAAGGAGACAGGGAATGGCATTTTCTTCGAAACGAAGTGCCCCAAATTCGAATAATGTTGGAATTGTGTAGCGAAAATTTGATTTGAGAATAGTGAATATAACTCAAAGTTTAAAAATGAATAAAAAGGTATTAACTAGAACGTGAACTGACTTGTTTTTGCGATACAATCGACATCAAAATATAAACTTTTAAAATTATTTAAATCTGTCTTAAATTAACACATTTTTAACACTTACATAACTCAGTGTCCGTTTCCTGTTTCAATATTTTCTTTTTATGATTTTAGGCATCTTGTTCTCGTTTCTAAGACGTTCAAGAAGTATCATTTAATTTGTTATTACTATTTTAGGTCACTTCTAACCACCACCACCACCACCACCACCACCAGCAGCAACAACAACAACTACAACAACAACTACTACTATTACTACCAACAGTAAACAATCTAGTCAGAATGCACGAATGTACATGTTGCCCTGATAAAAGACGAACCACTATCTGTGCTAGTATATTAAGGGTTAAAGTTAACCTTAAGTCTCTTTCAGCAGTGTCCTTATTGTTAAAATGTCGCCCATTTAACATAGCTATAGTTGATTCGAACCCTATCAGATTCACCAGTATGCTTCCTTATATGACACCAGTACTAAAAATAGCCTAGAAGGCAGTCTACACAGTATTAATATGAGATTTAAGAAATCGTTTCAGAATTTATATATTTGACAATAATTTGATTAATTTTTAAACTAAGAATCGAAACAAATCACTATTAATCAGGTAATCTGAACTGTAAAATCGTCATTTATTAAGTCTTTTTACAAGTTTACAAAATATGTAAAGTTAGTATTGTACTACATATTCCGAGTGTATTTATAAACTTATCAATCAATCGCGACGCAACATTATTTACACGTACTTCTTTAAACAGATGACGAGGTTTTATTTGGTATAGCTTAAAAATCGTTAAAACACCAGAAAAAACGAACTACTTTATTAAAGTGAATCATAAGCTTAAAGGATTGTACCTTTTCTGTTTAAATTATTAGCGCGGACGAACTGATTTTACTTAAAAGATGGCTTACAGGCAGTTTATACTTATGATTTGGTACTGTATTCTGTTGGTGCGCGTGATAAATATCGCTGGAAATACTAATGTAACTAAAGAGAAACTCTCCAGTTTTAATTTCACAGATATTAGCAAGGTAAGTTTCTCAGAATTTGATTTGAATTATTTGATTAGCTCTTTAAAACTGATGTGAATGTTTGACGTTAAGTATAAGTGTAAATCCCAACCCGAACATCTATCGCGTTATAAAACTCTAAACGGTCGGGGGTCTCAGTCGGTAGAGCTGTGGAGCGGTATTTCGAATGTCCAATGTTTAGAACCCATGTCAGACTGTACATGGTTTCAACCTATAACACTTATCTTACAAACGCATGTATCATTATTTCCATTGTTGCGAAAGATTAAAGATGAGAAAAGGAGAATATAACAATTAGAAATGAAATAAAATATTTATCCCAAAATTAGTAATTTTATACATACACGGTACCTGGTTTAATTCAAAGACAATATCGATTTTTATTAAATGAATTATAAGGTACACTGTTTACAAGAGTGTGAATATAGTTAGTGAACCTGTATTTAAACCTTTATTGTACTAAACTTAGATAAAAAAGTAAATTCCTTCAATGATAAAAACCATCAACTGATGTCAGTGATTTATTTGAATATTAATTTGGAAATGTCATGTGAAATGTTTTGGTAACTGAATATCCTGTAAATGACAATTTTCTCCGCTAAATGCCGTATGGACATCAATTACTTCTTAATAGCTAAACAAATTTTACATTAATGTTCGAAAAAATATAACCAACATCAAATATTTAAAGCAATATACTTATATAGATACATCTACTGGTTGAATATTGTTAATTATTTAATGTTGATTAGAATAACGTTGAACATTTGTACGGACATGACTCAAGGGATATACTTTATTTATCAGACCTATTGATACTGTTAAAACCGAAGTCCGACCATTGTTCCCTGAACATCACAAGCGAGTTAACAATGAACCATTGAACCAAGAAAAAAATGTTTCATCTTCTAATAAGGTCATAACATTCTATATACATAACCTACTCTTTTCTCCATCATCGACACATACGAAAGACTGAGTTACCAGGTACATAGTCTACACTCTGGTTCTCCACTGACAAAACCATAAGAAAGGAAGTGTTGTACGAAATACGGAATTATCATACCTTAATAAATGACAAAGATACTGTTACAAAATGGTACATGAAAATTTCTGACTCAAGAAAACAGTCCCCCAAATGAAGAGAACAATGACGTGACAAATGAAACCTTAACCTGATATGGAGAATATTTCTTATGTCATAATAACATTTGGCAACCATAGTTATCCCCTTAACATAAGTACATGTATATACAATGTGTTACATTTCTAATTTTTCGACTACATGTACTTTTACTTAGCAATGAATAAAAAAGTAAAATAAAACCAAGACCATTCATTTCGCAGATTGTATGAACATTATCACCGTAATGTATCAAAAAGATAGCCACCCGCTAAATCATACAGTACGGACAAAGAACAGAATTTTATAAAACAAAACTTTGTAATATCCATAGTCAAACTCAACATTGATCATTTACAAATATTAAGATTTCAGATATCTGAAGTATTACCAAAATCTTAATGTTGTTTTTATCTTAGCACTTTCTTTAAAAAAAAAAAAAAAAAAAAAAAAAAAAAAAAAAATAAAAAAAAACAATAAAAAAAAACTTCATCTGCTTTTTAGTTTTACCACAGAAAAGTAACTATATCTGTCAAAGGAGCAGCAGGACGAAGTTTGAATGATCCAGCTGTGTTTACAATACATTTCTTTGATTTGACCAAATGACATATATATCGGCCTAAAATCTTTTTGCGTCCGATTTTGATCTAATTTGAAATTTGACCCATATATTCCGGCGATATTTTGATAGAGTTGTTAATCGTTGGGTAAGTGTGACGATCCGATCCGTTCCACGATTCAGCAATTCACAAATCGAACCACGATTTTTTTGTTATCAAGACACCCATAAAAACAGGAACATTAGTTCTCAGTTTCAATTGATCGAAATACCAAAGTATTTCCAAACATTGGAAGTAAATATTGCTGGTGGAATTTTATTGGCGCGACTCCTTTTCAGCCATTGCTGCAGACAGAATGTGTGATGTTACACGAGATTTTTAACTTGACTTTTGCAAATTTTGGATTGTTAAAAATAAAACCATTTTCGATAATGTCACGTTATTGTAAATCTTTATATAAAGACTCACAATACGTTTTTATATTCATGTCGAAACATAGTGCTCAATAAAGATAAAGTAATTCATTTATTCGAAACTAATGACTTCCAAGCTCAGCATCATGGCACATGTTTGTTTACTTCCTGTCTTTTATAATTATGTCTTTAATTGGCAAATTGTATTAAGGTAAACATCGCATAATTCATACTAAAATTGTAATTCTATTTTGACATTTAGAGTGTAAAAAAAGTAAATGTATATTATCAAGTAAGATCGCGATCCTCGATCTCTTGACTGACGAATATTTCATTTTGATTCATGATTATCTGATTCATGATTATCTGAGTACTCGAATACTCGCCCCAGCCCCAGCCCTACATTTTGACGACATTAAGTTTCAATGAGACATAGGTGTTAAACTTAAAATTAAGTATGGGAAAATAATATGTTGAAGGCTTTCTTTATTCAGTAAAATATGCTTGGTTAATAATTTACAATCTTTCCCGTTGCCAGACAGTTGATATTAAAGCAGAGAAAGCATATACGAAGTTGATTCAAATGGGTACAACAGATGGTATGCCTGTTGATATAAGAAATGAAAGGGATTTACATGATCCATGGCAAAATACAGACAATAAGGTATGAAATAAGTTTTAACTAGCGGACATTCGATCATAATATATGCATAAACACTATTTACCGTGACATCATCTCTAAATCGTTTCCTACATATTGTATTTTCAAAAAAAACCCCAAAAAACATAAAGGTAAAATAATCGGCATTTCACTTCCCTTTTATAGCGCCAAATCTGGCAATGCTTTAAGGTGTCATAGATAAATCTTTTCTATGTTCATGTACATATAGCACTGTTACTAATTCAAAGATTCATATGGTGGTGTTGCAGGCAAAACAGAGTAAAGTGAAATGATACTGTATTATTAATGATTGCTATGAAGGTTTTAGTAGCTTGTTTGTTAATTATCCTGGTAAAACATATTGATGTTTACTTTTAAAACTATATCAGAAATCGATAATATTGTATTTAGATTTTAGGTTCGATCGATTATTTTTGTTTCAGTATGATGAAAGTTTGAACTATTTTGGTTTGCATGTTGAAGATGCCTGGAAAAAGGGTTACAACGGAAGTGGTATTACAATTGCTGTTACGGACATAGGAATATCTGCTGACATCGTCGACCTTAGAAAAAATCTGGTATATAAACTTGTAAATATTTTTTAGTAATGATGCTTTCGATTGACTCAGGTATAGGTGAATGTTGCAAGATATGTAAATTTTTAGACTAAATTTGTAGCTGAAAAGAACACAACAGTTTGTTCCAATTTCAGAGTTGTTTTTGTTGGTCTTTACAACAAAACCTTCTATCATAAAGTATATGAAGTTTTCAATTTAACAGAAATACGTTATTTTTAACAGAATATGGAATTGGCTTATAATTTCCTAGACAAAACAACAGACGTGTCTCCAGAAGACATCGACAATAACTATAAGGCAGAGTCAATGCGTTATATCGAGTAAGTAATTCAAGATAGTCTTTAAACAAATAGAGAAAATGTGAATCCCTAAAGAAAGCCCAAAACGACAAAATTGAGAATGTTGCAAGCTCGGTTTCATTGAGTTTACAACAATAATATCGTGCTAAAAGATCTTTAAGGATCGGAAATAAAACATATCTGATTGAATGTACTGGGCGACTTTTTATAGCTTCCACACGGCACAAACAACGCTGATGTGGCGATGAATGGAGAAAATAAGTATCCCTAAACAAAATTGAAAATGTTGCTCGGTTTGATTGACGCATTACATATTTTGTTTGTTTATTTTTGTTGGGTTTTAATTCATATCGGTTCTACAAAGGAGTACATTTCGTAGATTACCTGGTAAAATTATAGTTAAACTTAAAAATTATAAATTGGCGTCTATTTTTGAGTAAAAAGTGTAGATAGCTTGCAATTGTGTTACATAATTTTACATCTGCGTTGCTTAATTTTAATTAGATTTATTTATTGTACGTGTAGGATTTATTCATGAATACATCAAGTAGTGTCGGCGTAAAGTATTAAAACAAGTACAATAAACTTAACTTTTTACTCATCATCTAAGACAGTAGAGTGTAAATATCATTATCATATATATTGTTTGGAAGAATCCAAGTATAATTATGTGGGAAAATTGCCCGAATTTAAATTTGAGTCTGAGTGACCTTATTATAACGCATTAATCAGAAATACTTTTTTTACTATTTACCAGTTTGCTAAGCTTCCCTTTTACCAGTTTCTTATGCTTCCCTGTACCTTTTTAAAGACTATTTTGTACAATCTTTTCTATACTTGTTTCAGTCACGGTAATCGATGCGCAAGTATAATAGCTGCTGAGAAAGGAAACGGATTGTGCAATGCTGGAATCGCCTTTGCTGGAAAAGTTGTCCGTACGTAAAATATTGTAATGTTTGGTCCAAAGTCTTTGATATTTAGATCAATATGCAATGTGAAAAATATAAGTAGTTACAAGATGTATATTCTTTATTTTTCTTGATATAAGAACGAATGGTGTTTTTGTAATAATCCTTTTTTGATATATTTGTAATGTAAATTAACTTTATACCCATCCAACAGTAAATGGTATGAGCAGAGGTAAAAGTAAAAAAAACTATAAAATTTGCAAAAATTGTATTCTATTTCTTATTTTATTATGCACAAATAACCAATAAACCAGGTGTCTCACGGAAACTTCTATAAATATCGTTCGGATTGTATCGGTAGCGTTCATTTTTTAAAAAAAACGGGACAGTCATTTTATAATTTAGGTACTTTTTACATTTTATCCTAAACATTTTTCATTGCGGCGTTTGCGGAAGCTCTTCAACCTTTTTCTGCCTTAAAAATCGCGTACAACAGCCGCTTTGTGGCTAGACGTGTTGTCATGCAGCCACCTGAACTAAGGCAAACCTGTCGCCAGTCTGCGTCTATTGAACTATTTCGCAATGATGTGGACTTACAAAAATCAAGCATACGAAACCCCCGAGCATTGCATACATTATCTTCTGAGGCCCGTCCTTGAGCAATATCAGGCGTATAAAAATCAAAATCTAGCTGATCATTACAAACATCAAAGGAAATAAAATCAGTTTCTAACGCTCATTATGCGTTAAGCTATACATGGCCTTTGTAGCCATTATCTAGTTTTCATGTTTTCCTTTGGGCTCATAGAAATGCAGCCTGTGACGATACTTACAAACGAGCGAGTATTATATTTTGGGTCCATTTTTAGCAAAGATTTTACTATTTTCACGCGGATGAGAATTAAATGAACTACCCCAATTGAGATACCTATTGAGCTATTTCCGTAACAGTGAATATTGCATCCATCGATACAATTTATCTGACATTTTCTATGATTTTGGGATTGGCTGCTGTCTTTCTGCGATGGCCACATGGTTCATCTTGCAAGGCCGTTTTTCCACTTGCAAATTTCTTGCCCCACCTAGTAACTGATGCAAGGTCCATAATTGAGCATATTTAATGAAATATCACTTTGGGCCTATAAAAAGAAAACAGCTGTTTTTTATGTTATTTGCACGGCGAAAGCAGATTTTTTACCAGAAATTTTATCATTAGTATATTCGAGTATGCACTGATTCTCGTTATGTAGTCGATGCTAGAGAAGTCAGATTTACACAAAACTGGTATCAACAAATAGATAATTGATGCCTGTAGGCGATGGAAAGCGTGCTTAAGTACATAATATAACCTGAGTTGCATTTCAATTTGAACATCCCTCGTATTGAGTCTGCTCATGAGAGACAATGACAATGAAAAGTATGCCCTGTTACGCAATGTTTACAGGTAATCAAATGAATTCTAACCTTAAGACATGTTCATTTCTTTTTCAGCGTTAAAGATATTTTCCGTGTTGTATAAACACAGAATATTTATACTAAACACATCCAGTGATATCATGGGTGCTGCTTTATCGTACCATATCGAAGATATTCATATCTACTCAAACAGCTGGTCGCCACCCAGAAGGTTTGGGCCAATTGACGATGTGTTGGCCAAAGCTATTTTTCACGGAGCAACAAAGGTTAGTAGATTAAATTGAATGACTATAATAGATACAATGATATATCAGATAACACATAAATGCGTGTAATAAATGGAGCTGACCGTTTAGACAAACTATATTCTTTATTAAGTTTAATCTATTTAAAATTTAAATATAGAAGTCGAAAAACTAATTCAATTGAAAATCACTTTGCTTTAAATAACAGGGAAGGAATGGGCTTGGATCAATCTATGTTTTTCCGGATGGATCCGATGGAATTACAGGCAGTGGGTACGCGAACAATATATATACCATTGCAGTCAATAGCGTAAATATTGGAGGTTCCTTGCCAAAGAATTCCGAAGTTAGCGCATGCGTGATAACATCTGGCCTCGGTGATGGAAATAGACTCAATACAAATAATATGGTAGGAAGTGCAACGATGATGGTTTTGTTTCATTTGATTTTGTATGAAACTAAGTTGTCAAACGAAATCGAGTAAATTTGCTTTTCGTTTTCTGCATAATTAAAAAAGTAAAGATAAAAATCCAAAAAGTTAATGTAACTACATAAACTTATTTTGCAAAGAAAATATTTATGCATTGAACGTTCCTGTCCTATTTACTTTTTCAAGCTGACAGTATCTTAATTATATTATAATGTTTGTTTTTTAAGATGACATCATCATTCAACAATGCATGTGTTGGATCGTTCAAGGGCGTTTCGGCGGCTGTTGCAGAAGTGTCTGCCATCATAGCTCTAGTCTTACAAGCAAGGTATCGACAATTTCGTTATCTTATTTGTTTCGTAAACATCTATGTATGTGTACAAATACTTAGTGTTTATAGCTTATTCGTAACGATTATAATATGTATACCCACGAGGATATCCTATGAATAATTGTAACAAGGGTTAGCACGGGCTGACCAGTTTGCATTGCACATGTCCCTCCTGTCGATTGTGTGCGTGAACATTTCATTTATACCATACGTTTTAAATACATACGTACATGTTTTAACCTTATTATTTTAGATCTGATTTAACACTCAGGGATATTCAGCTCTTACTAGCAGAATCATCGGACCTAGAGGGTCTTGCAGAATCGAAATTATTTAATCGGAATGCAGCCGGCAAATACTGTAAGAAGTATTTTCTTAAAACTTTTTGAATACAGTATACCTTTGAAAATCAAAGATGAAATAATTATAAAAAATTACCATTGGTTACACCGAGTTTTTTTTATGAATGTATATATTTTTACGGCTGATTTCTGGTAAGGAGTTTGTTTGCTGAAATGAAAATTGATAATCAACGCTCATGCATCTGCATATATAGATTTGTATTTGAGTGATTTGAGTGTGTTTTAGTGAACATTGTAAATGTATCTATCTGCCTATAACTTTAGCAACATAGATGATAGAACAAGTTTTATTCGTTCTATATATTCCATGAAATCAGTATTTTTTTCAAAAAGAAAGGAAATCGTTTGAACTCTCAACAGCAAGTTTTGTGTGGCCATTGTAAAATGTTTCCCCGTATTTTATCTCAGTGTTCTTATATATGTCTTGTCCTTTGGAATCAATGATTCCAGTGCATGATTTCAGTGCATGTACTGCTTGGCATTGATTGCTGAGGTCTCCTTTTTATGTCTCACGAACAAACCCATCTGTAATTTTTACCATTTTACTATTGTTTTTAATATAAATAAGGAAAAGAAAGGCCTTTTAAATATTCTCTAAAATTATGAACGGTTTTGTCAAGATTTATAGAGGGATAATTCCGTTTAAGATATTTAGCATGGTAAGGATTGCATAAGGATACATATTATTTTCAGTTCATGCTGTCTTGGGGTTTGGTTTACTGAATGCCGACAAAGCTGTTACAAAAGCGAAGACGTGGCGTCATGTTGGAAAGCTCTATACTAATTCGCTAGACTACGTGCGAGTTCACTCTGAGACATTCGAAAAGCGAAGACAATCGTAAGTCAACATCATCTGTAACATTCAAGTTCATGTAGTTACTTGAATATTTTTTTTTATTGTTTAAGTAAATCATTTACTTGTTCTATTTTTGTACTGATATTTACAGAACAATCAATGCTGAACAACACTATGTGAAAGAGAAACATTTTGATGTTACTCTATCGAGGTTAAATTTATCGTGAAGCCTTAGTTTGGGCACAGGGTCGCATTGGTAACATATCATAATTGAATATATTTTAGCTGTTTTTATGCTTTTTCCATGAGTCTGTATTTAGCATGTTGTTCTGAATTAATAAGAATTTTTATTTCATTCAAGTGTTAAGATGGTGACGACAATAGAGTTCAATATGGAAGCAGATCCATATCGTCCTCATGTAAGTACCATAGAGCAAGTAGTGTTACGTATAGGTCACGATGTCATTAATCAGGAGGGTGTTTGCGTTGAAATCGTTTCTCCAAGCAAGACAACGTCTGTTATTGTAGATAATACAGATGGCAAAAATATTGACCAGGACAATGCACCTAGAGATTTGACCAGTGTCCACTTCTTGGGAGAATCTCCAGTTGGAAACTGGACGGTTAGAATACATTTTGGTCAGAAATCAGGTAACTAGTATTGTTCTGTTATGATCTTTTTAACCCTGATAGAGCATTTTAAACCATTGCACCCTGTGTTTGAATAAGAATATGATGAGAAGTAAAAAGGAAATATACGCACAAAACCTTTTGAAATAATTATATATATTTAATCATCATTATTCAATGGCATTTTTTATCAGCAAAGTTATATAGCGATGATAACTTTCATACGAAGAGAAAAAATATTGAAGAAAAAATAAAAAGATAAGTTAAACATTACAGAAATATCTGAGAGATGAGAATATATAAGCAAGTATTAGGTTAACACATATCCATACAAAGCATATTTCTGTACGTTATTGCAGCCTTGACGAACCTCGGATCAACAACATCTTTAACTGTTTATGGAACTTTTAATAAAACTAAAGCCAGTAAAGGAAAATACACCATCATGTCCTCAACTGCAGCGGATAAATTAGCAGACGGTGAAGACAACTTTACGGAAAATAGCAAGAACATTAAAGAACATGTTGGTAACACAATGAAACCTGAATCTGGCGCGGCATCTCAGAAACTATTCAATAATAAACTTACATACGTTTTGATGGGTTTAATAATAAAGATTTACTACACGGTGCTATGTCAACTCCATTAGAATGTAGCATTAATTAACAAGTGAAATTACTTGTGCGTCTTTGAGTTTGATACCATGAATATATAAAAATAGAAACATGTAAATAATCAATCAGATAGCAGTAAAATATAAGGGAAGTGGCAACATGCATAACTTGATTCAATAACTTTATAGTATACTACTTAATAACTTTAATTGATTTTCACATATTTCTACTTGAAATTTGTTTGATATTGATGTTAAAAACCGTATGAGATTTATACTTTAAATACGCAATGCATTATCTCTTATTTTAATATTTGTTGCTTGTACACATTTGTATAATCTTTCTTGAATCATTCAACTTATCTCTTGTTGTTTATTTAAGTTTATGATTAACTTTCTTCAAATATTTGTTACATTTTAACGCATTTGCTAAACCTCCACATTTTGCTTCATATAAACGATAACTGATGCAAAAATATGACATGAAAATAACTAAACAGTCTTGCCAATCTACCGCTTTTAAAATACATGTATATCAGAGTGAGGATATGAAGTAGTTTGGGACCTTCTTTCGATTTGCTTTATTAATTTATTGAAATCTTAACTGATGAAATAATATTTATTCTCCTTTGTTTTTGCTCAAGTTTCTTCCAAGACGAAATCCAAACCCTGAAGTCCCTGCATAGTTTAAAATAGTGTCAACAGTAAGGGTAAATTACATGTACAACTTTGTCTAGTCATTAATTTATTTCTTTTTTTTTTCATTTTTATTTTCAAAATTTAGTTATTTTATTACATAAAGTACATTTTTGTAGTTGAAGTATCGGAATAAGTATGATATAAAACTTCGGACTGTTGCTAATCTTATAACGTGTAGCTCGATGTACATTTTTGAGAATACACACGTTTTTGTTTTTGTACAATCCACGTATTCTTTTACATGCATTTATGTATTGAATAGTCGCAGAAGATGTATATTATATTTTTTTACAAATATCAGATAATATCTTGACTAGAGGAACAGAATCTCTTATATAGTATCATGCATGTATATATTTGTTTAACAGGCATGTTTTGGAAAATTTAATCGTCTTATACAACAAAATTTTATAGAGATTAAATCACACGTGGTTTTACTTCATTTTTATTGACTTTTTTACTAATTGTGTTTTGTCAAGTGTTTATACATTTATCTTTTTTAATAATAGGTAAAGAGTTGAGTCTCAATACCAATGATTGTTTATTATTATGATATTTTATTTTTGGTATCTTGTCTCTATAAAAATATTCATTTGTCATATAGATAAATTACCTTTGCTTCTGTGGCTCTGAGAGCATTTGATATAATTATAGTTAATTAGTATTTTGTATGGAAGTCAAAATACTACTTTGTTTACATTTTGCTACCTTTGCGGCACATTACTTCACGTTCACTGCTATTTTCGTCAGCTGCTATCTCTCATGCTCTAAATCTATACATTAACACATGTTGGACAGTTCTAAAGAATTATAAAATGTGGATCTACGAGGCATAATATACCTTTAAAGTGTATAAAGCTATATATTTGATTTTTTTATTGTCAAAATATTGTTTGTGATTCACATGGTTACAGAATATCTGGAGTGCTAGAAATTTATCAGTATATTGAAAACAAAAAGAGTGGGACCTGCGTGTATTCAACACCAACATATTAAAATAGCAGCGCTGGTATAATTTTATTTCGTTTGCGTACAGTAATTATGTTTATAAGATTACATAGATATTCTATGACACCTTTCAAGAAAAAGACAATAAGGGTATAAAACAACATAATTTTGATAAAATATTACATCAGATATAGCTTGATACACTTTAATACATGCATAATAATTTTATTCTAAACTTTTAACTTTATGTATTTGTCAAAGAAGAAGCAATGTGTCATTACGTCTTTTGCATAATTATTATCTTTTAACATGATTATTAATAGTTTACCCCAGTCCTGTGCCCATTTCAACAAGTTATTTCGAGCTAAAACATATGGTAATCCTTACAGGGGTAAACCTTACGGGGTTAGACTGTTGTGGTGTTTATGTATTTTTTTTTTGATTGCTCAAGTAACTTCTGCTGTGAACAGAAACAGGCATAGCCGGAAGTCATGTCAATGGGATTTTTGCTTTGAGGCTTTTTGCTAGTCATTATATAATACATAATTATTTCTTAAATGGGCAACCTGAATTATTTTTTTTGTATTATACACGTTACAGGCATTTATTAAAAATCTAAGTCGATTCGTATAATTATGTAATTTTATGGAGATCTAGTTAAGCTTTTATTATTTTCTTAGTAAAATGTTCTGATGTCAGGTACTAGAAAGCTTATATAACCCTGTTAGATCGGAAACATGTTAGAAGAAGTCTAAATATAATTGTAATGATTTCATTATAAAAGATAACGATACCTTTATTCATAATTATAAATATTGTGACGTCATTGTCATGACACGATTATGTGTAAGAATAGTCATTTACAAGATCATTTGTAAAAATAGTGAAGATTATGTATATATTAACATAAATAATAAAAAATGCATTAATTTACTATATTTAAATTGAATATTGACATGTTCAAGTAGTTATAAACATCTTTTATGTATGTTATAATAAAATAGTATTATCATGTTTATTCAACCCGAAACATGTTAAACCTGTCATCATTATCACATGTATTAAATTAATGTACATGTCCGCAATGCAACATTCATTTTTCATGTTGTTGTTTTCTGTCGTACATATTCTTGTATTTCAGCGTCAGGCCTTTTTTTTTTTTTTAGATATTTTTGATACATACTGTTTAAGCTTACCCTTTGTCACATTCTTCCAAAATTCTTTACAGCTGCCATTTTGTATAATTGTTTATTTTCAAGTTATATTCCAAATTTCTCCGCTCAGATGTTTTCGTCTATCCATCTTCTTTGCAAGTGCGCATGCTGCGTGTCGGGTCATAACTTACTGTACGGATCATAAATTTCTACGGACCCCTTTTAAACCAGGATCAGTGTAACTCATGGCGCTTGCCCAGTATCGGGTCAAGGGGACCTCTCAGCATGACCCGGGTCAAATTCAAGGGTAAACTTCAGTTGCGATCCAGTTTTCCTAAAGAGCAGCCACGCTCTGTTTACTCTGACTCATATTTTTCTTTATCATTTCATCCGGTTTCTTTAGAAACTTAGGTACTTAGAACTTTCTGGCATCATATTTGCCGATTAATTAAAGTTTTCAGTAGTAAATTTTGAAGAACTTTTATTAAATTTTCACACTTTGTCATTTCGTCGAGGTCTGACAGCTTAGGAAGGTAAGATAGTGTTAAAAAAATAAATATTTGTTAAGTATTTCTAGAATGCTATTAATTGTTATTCGCATCTTACATAAATTTACTTGTCGAGAACTAAATGATTTTTGTTATTTACTGGTCGGCTCGGTCGATCATTAGTGTGCTCACCCGCTACCAGGGGCGAATCTTCAGTCTACCCGCCTCCAGGAAGAAATCAACGCCGGACTACGTCAAGAAATAATTAAATAAGTCCAGTATAGTCAGCCTCTTGATGAATATGTAGACTTAGCCTTTGCACAAAATATAATAAACAATATCAACAAGGAAAGGCGGCGTTCAATCAACGCAACCCGCGCAAACGTTTTATTTGTGGCAACTATTGAGGATAAAACATCTCTACGAAATAATTTTGTACGACCAGTGTTTTAAATCACCGCCTTGTGTCGTATAATCATCAATGCCCATCCAATTCCTAAGTTTAACCGTCATCGATCGAAAGTGTAAACAATGGCAAGGTCACGTTTGCTTACATTTTAGCAAAGGGAGATAAATGTCGGTAAGTTTTTGTTGTTAAGGAGCGCATGATTTACCTCCCGTGATTTTATTTGTCTGAACAGTGAATTTTCTGACTAGTAACCAAGACCACAGTACTTTTCGTGAAGTTGACCTAGAAAGGGGGCAACACCACACATAGTGACCAAGCGAGTCATGTCCCAGAGAGTTACCCTATAGTCCAGAAGCCTGGATCGCCACTCTATCCTAGGATTGACACATGCGGAGAGATTTTGGCAACCCCAAGTGGAGAATTAAAATTTAAAGTTCCAAGGCATTAGGTGAAAATGCAAAAGTCCTTCCCGCCAGTGAGGCCATAGTGAAAGGTTCACTACATGACCAAGATATTAATTTTTCAATAGGAAATATAGAATCTGATAATGATTACTGGCAAAACAATAGTGTATTTCTGGGAAAATCTTCAGTGTCCTTGAACAGTGGTTTCATTCCATTACGTATAATGAATGTAACCACTAAGCCGTTTAAATTGTACTAAAAACCAATGCCGGTCAAGTAGTACCAGTTGATGTACTAGAGATAAGTGACCATGATAATTCTGACATCGAATTTCAAAAAATGCCAAATGTAAAGAATCTATTCTACAGCATTTGAAGGAAATATATGACGGGTGTAAATCAAACTTAACACAGATTCGAACATTTAGAGGTAAAAAAATACGTATTAATTATCAAATTGTCTTTTCTAAGTCAAAAACTGATCTAGGTCAAACAGATATAACACAACTTAAAGTAAATACAGGACTGGCAATCCATTTTAAGCAACGGCCTAGACGATTACCTTTAAGTATAAGAGAGGGAGTAGAAACTGAAATACAGAGAATGATAGGTGCCGATTTATAGAACCAATTGCTGGGCCATGGAGTAGTCCTATTGTCCCTGTAAGAAAGTGTTCAGGTGAATAGATTACAGAAAAATCAATGCTTGAAAGATTCAAAGATCCTTTATGCAACTTAAACAAGCCTTTACTACAGCACCTTTATTAGGGTATCCAAATGCAACAGATATTGGCATTATATAGATAAATAACTGTGTTTCTAGGAAAAAAATATTTCAGTAATAAAAGGAATTGGGGCGTTTCTTCACAATGATTATGGGGTAGATTTTAAAAATAGGACAGACCATTCTGCATTATCTTGGCTAATGAAAATGAAATTAATTTGTGGACCATAAGCAGGATGGCTAGAGACCCTAGGTTCTTCCTATTTTTAAATAACTCATCGCAGTGGCACAAAACATGGGAATTGTGATGGTTTACCAAGAAGGCCATGTGAAAGGTGTTACTATTGTGAAAAGAGAGAGAAGTCTTCAAATGAAGAAGAAATAAAAGAGTCATGTAGAATAGTTAATCTCGAAAAACCTAAGAATAAGGAAGCTTTAGAAAAAATAGCTTCAATGAATAAAGAGAATATAGAAGGTGTAATCCAAGGGCATTGGAGAACACTGAGTTAGAACAGCAACCGGCTAGATCTTCTGTTGACACAGACAGTAGGGATCAATGGATATAACTAATTGAAACTGAACAAATACATAAAGAGTTTTTAAAAGATGATAATCTTTAATTTATTTTATCTTCGAAGAAAGAAAATAAAAGACCTCCTTGGACTAGGATAGCCAATAAAGTTATGTTTTTAAAAGATTCTGATCCAAGTGTGATAGAAAACGATTACATTAATAACATATTGTATAGAAAATGGTAATAGAATAAGATTAAAAAATAACATATTGTATAGAAAATGGTACACTATTGAGGATTGTTATCAGTGGCAGTTGATAGTTCCAGAAAATATGAGAAATAATATTTTGACTTTAACACATGACAATGGAATGGTAGTTCATTAGGGTATAACTAAAACTAAATATAAACTGCAGAAGTTATTTTATCTGGTGAGCAGCCAAAAAGATTGGTGATATAGTTGTAAAGTATGTCAAGCATGGAAATTGTTATTTACAAGAGCCAAAGCCAAAATGAAGCAGTACCAACTTGGGTGTCCTATGGAACAAGTAAGCCTTGACTTTTTTGGACTTTGCCTTTGTCAAATTTAGGCAGCAAATTTATATTAGGTGATATTGACAATTTCCCTAAAAGGGTGGAGTTATATCCATTGCCGAACCAAGAAGCTAAAACTTGTGCTGATATTTTTATTTCCAAATTTGTTAATAGATTTGGGATCCCAAGACAGATTATAACTGATTAAAGGAGACAATTTGAGTCAAACGTATTCCAATAGTTATGAACTATTTTAAATAGTTATAAAATTAGGTGTTCTCCATATCATCCAAACTAATGGATTTTGTCAAAGAAATTTTAAAACTCTGGCATACATGTTATTAGCAAAAGTCGTTGATTGTAACCAAAGAGATCGGGATTTCACTTTTAGCTTACATATTTTCTGTACAATAATCTTCAGGTTACACCCACAGTAAAATGATGTTAGGTCAAGAACCAATTTTACCCGCAGATCTATTGTTTGGTGCAGATAAACCCGAAACCGAGGTAGTTTCGCCAAGTTATTTCATACAACAAAAGCATGTTATCAGTAGTAATATACACGAAATCGCGCGTCATAATATTGACCATCGTACAAATTCAATTTCCTGCGAGATCGGTGATAAAGTATGGCTGACTAAAGAAATGAGAACTAAAGGTAGAACACCTAAACTAGAGAATAGGTGGGGGCCCTTTGAAATCAATGAAGTGCTGTCAGGCCTTAAGGTTCAAAATCGTTTCAAAATTTTCATCACAATCGCCTTAAACTAGTCACTAACAGAATGTAAAAAGCAAATAGCTGCTAAATTGTAACAATATTTTCAATATTTGTATCTTGTCGTATGCCGAAGTTAGCAAAAATACCCTTGTTACCTTATCTTGCAAGGAAATTTGCTTGTAGAGAGTGCTGTGTAGGTTATGACACAACGTGCCATGGGATAGACATATCCAGGACAGGCATGAAAGAAAAGTGGCATGCAAATATGTTTATGGAAAAGAATATCCTGTGTGTCGTTCCAGGAATTCAAGAAGACATGAATGAGACACAAGGTTATAAATACCGATACTTACGAGTATGAATGTATTCATACTCCGCCAGACTAATGCATTGATATTGGAGAACACCCAGATAATGTAGATAGCCAACAGGTCAATGTAAATTTGCCAAATTATCACACGTCCTCTGACAATTTAATACCATTTGGTAATCCTCGAAAACCTGAAGGAGCTAATGAAAAAGTTAATGTACAGGGGTACACTTCATCTCTACAATTTTCATCTTCTGTAGAACTACTTACCTCAGTTCCATATTTAAACACTACCATGGTGTCTTTTTGTTCAACATCAGATCCATTGTTTACTACACCTAGCTTAGATTATCTTTAGACGAGCATGTTGGTCAACATTCCTCATCCCTATTTACGCCATTTGCATCTGCTAAGCCTAGTTCAAGTGTATCTGTGACATCAACCCCTGAGTCAGCCCAAAAAGAACCATCACAATTCTTGTCTACCCCAGAGTTAACTTTAAATTTTCATCGCTTATGTCAACTAGTGATGCTGGATCCACGCCTATTTCACGTAATACAACTTTACACGTGTGTCATATTCAATTTATACTACTACAAGATATGTGCCAACTTTACCCGTATTACCAAAATTTCAGCAAATAGAATATAAAGATAATTGCCTTGTCAAAATCAAGAACATCACTCTTGAAGTTGACAAACTCGTGCAGTGTGTAATTTTGAGTATATAATGCATGATTTCCGCATATATCTGAGGTGTGCTCCATCTGCCCATATCAACACCACTAATCAAGGAGCAGCGCATCAGAGCTCTTCAATCGGGGGAAGATGCAGCTAGTTATTTACGCTTTTAAAGGTACGACTGTCATATTAAAGGAGAAGGTGCTCTTTGCTATTGGAGATGTATATTGCCAGGAGACTTGCATAGTTCCAAATTCTTTAGAAACTGCAGCAAATGCAAAAGAGACAAAACAACATCGGTTAACTGTAAACACAGCGAATGCCATCCATATTTGTGAAAAGCTGGAATAGACAGAAATTTTAATCGCGTTGTGACTGTGTAAAAATAAATAAATAAATATATAAATCATTGAAAGTAAATTAATCTTAAAACAGAACTCTTGGACTGTAATAATTGGTTTTTCTATAGTTTCGTTAATCAAATACACGAAACAAGTAATTATAATTTACATTTAAACTTCAGTGAGAAAAAAAATTGTATTCTGTATAACCTGTGAATACCTGAAAACATTATTCATTTGGTGTCTTCATTCGGGAACATGACATTCTACAACAAAGTGTTAATAACTATAAACTAATGAACTTTATGTGAACTTGGACATGAAAATGTACGGACATTTAATCTGAGAAAAAATATTGTTGCTACGTGTATATACATATTTAAAGGGAGACACAAGGAAAATTTTCATTTTCTTAGTTTTGAATTTTTCATTCATTATTCTGTAAATGCCCTCAAAATGAATATATTAGACAGTCAGTCAAAGGAACAAAAAATTTCTCCATATAAATAATAAAATGGTGGTTTCTTAACTTGACCCGCGTGGGTCAGGTTAGAGCGCTAGTATTTCACAATAGTTGTCAAAGTGAACTCTGGAAACGTTAAAGAACATGTCAAATGAATGACTTGGGCTTGTTTCAATCATACAATATCCACAATATCTGTTAGTGTAACTTCAAGGGTTTGGTCAAGTCACCTTACTTGTTTTAATTTATTTGGTGATTCTATTGGCGTCTAAATTTTGTTCAGCATATATTATACGCTTCAAACCCGAAATATAAAGAATTTAAACAGAAATTCATGCTGAAACTTCATGAAAAGTCATTTTAGCGTGATTTGTATTTATCTATTTTTCGAGTACATAAGATCATTTTAATATTTTTGTCATTATTTTGCCTGAATATCTCTTTAAGGTAATCGATTATGAATTCTGGAAATATCAGTAAGTCGGTTTATCTTTATTCTTAATTAATGTATATTTAAAAATTTTAGTAACTTTATAGGTTGTTAAAATCATTGATAACAAATTCTATAACATAGATAATAGTAAGTCGCATAATCTCTAATTAAATTGTAGATAATTCAGTGTAACGTAACATAGGTGATGAATTTTTGTATTTACAAAATAACTTGTAATCTTTATTTAACAAGTATTCAGAGAATGTTCATGATTAAATTGATTAAGATATTGTATCAATTTTTCTACCACATTTCAATATGAATAAATTCAAAATATTTGATTATTTTAGCGTAATTATTTTATTATTATTTTTTAAGGGTAAACTTATGTATAAAAATGAAGTAAGAAATAAAAAGACGATGTTAAATAATGTACAAGTTCAGGACGAAGGGACAAGGGGCAGTAATGTGAAGTTATGGTCATGGCATGATTATATGTAAGAATAGTCATTTACAAGGACATTTGTTAAAATTGTGAAGATTATTTATATTTACATAATTTTTGTATATTATATTTCCGTAACATTATCATGTCAGTTCAACCTAAAACATGAAAACTTTATCATCAATATCACATGTTTTGAATGTATGTACATGTACGCAATGCGACATGTGACTTTTTATGTTGTTGTTTTCTATCGTACATATAGTTGTGTTTCAGCGTCATCAATAAACTGTTTAAGTTTACCCTTTGTCACATTCTTCCAAAATTCTTTACAGCTGACATTTTGTATTATTATTTATTTTCAAGTTATATTCCAGATTTCTCCGCTCAGCTGTTTTCGTGTATCCATTTTCTTGGCAAATGCGCATGCTCCGTGTCAGGTCATAGCTTATTGTATGGATCATAAATTTCTACGCACCCCTTTTTCACCAGGGTCAGTGTTACTCACGGCGCTGCCCAGTATCGGGTCAAAAGGATCCTCTATGCATGCCCGGGTCAAATTCAACGGTTAACTTCAGTTGCGATCCAGGTTTCCTAGAGAGCAGCCTCATTCTGTTTACTTTTAGAATTAAATAATTATTTTTGATCATTTCACCTGGTTTCTTGCATTATATTTGCCGATTAAGTAAATTTTTCAATAGTAAATGTTTGGATGAACTTTAATTAAATTTTCACACGTTGTCATTTTCGTCGAGGTCTGACAGCTGAGAAAGGTAAGACACTGTTAAATAGTCAAATATTTGTTAAGTATTTCTCATATTCTATTAACTGTAATTCGCATCTTAAATAAATTTACTTGCTGAGAACCAAATATTTCTTATTATTGACTGGTCGGCTTGGTCGATCGTGACGTGCTCTCATCCGATACCAGGGGAGAGTCTTCAGTCTACCCGACTCCAGGGAGATATCAAGGCCTGCCTACGTCAGGAAAAAATTAAAGTAGACCAGTATAGTCAGCCCCTGTTATGAATATCTAGACTTAGTTTCTTCTCCACCAGCGCGCAAGTTGCAATATGATTACAATGTAAAATTTTAATGGAACTCAAATGAGGTCCAAAAGCCTAAATACGTAAAATTTGAATTTATCACATGGATCAGGTTGGCCAGCTAAAACAAAAAAGTGACAATTAACAAAAACACTCGTATCAATTTTTTAAATCGTATTTTGCGATATTCAAGCTCGATTTTTGTCTCGGTGCAACGCATTCAATAACAGGTCACTTCTTACAATTAGTTTTTTCCCTTAAAAACCGGAGTAAGCAAACAATCTGATCTGAAATTTTGCACACATGTATTGGTATAGACCTACGTCAAATGGAGCAAAAATCTCAAAAAAAAAAATCTATTCCCGTCATGTCAAAATACCTCAGTGGAGTCACTTTAATGTTAAAAATGTTCGATACATGTACTGTTCTCAGGTGAAAGTACTACACAAAACATTTCTTTTTACCTGATTTGATTGTTCTAGGTTTGTCCTTCTGTTGTTTTGTATCTTTGTATCTTAAAAAAAAAATGACAATCATGGGACAACTTTTAGATTAAATAAAATAATCGAATTATAGATAATAAGCAATCCGATACTTATTACTTAACGAATATGTTTCCACCATTATTTTGTCATATCTTGACTATGTCATAATGCTAGCATGACATTATTGCAAAACAAAAATAAAGAATTTTTTTTTTGCCTCATCTCTATGAATTATCTTTGCTACGATTTAAAACCCAAGCAATAATAAAAAGAAATGAAACTGATCAATTTATTCTTTTTTTTGTAAAATATGACATTATAAGGAGTCATATACTGAAGGAAAACGATTTATTCGACATATTGGTGTTATATTAAAAATGATACATGTGTTAATTATAGCCTTTGGATCGCACCTTCATAACCGGTAACAACTCTTACAGCTGTTAAATCTTTATCATTTCCCGTAAAGAACTGATACGACGGTCAGAATGCGATTAGTCGCATGATTATCGTCGGAAACCCCCGACGGTTTCACTAAGTGTATGTTACATCCTTATATGTAAATTAATGGAGGTCACGTGACATACGCTCACACACCTTTTAAACTAACATAGCGGAGAGGAAGAACATGTGTCTCTCACGTTTATACTACAGGTCAGGTTAATATTTGAAGCGGAAAACAAAATGCGCAATTATAAAAATGACATTCTGTACTTGATGAGCTGCTGTCTTTGGTATCCATGTTTGTTTTGTTCTACTTAAAGGATGGGTCAGGTGACAGATCATGTGTTACTGATGACGTACCATTGCGTTATAATTAGAAAGACCAAGTCAGCTTCGGAGATATTTCATCATTTTGTTTTATAGTATTTACCAATTTTAATTTATTTTTTGTAAAATTATCGCATTTACCATCAAATCAAACCTGTCTGATATTTATTTGTAAATTACTTACATAACATACAGGATCTTTAAATATAAACTTAAATCAGAGCCTGTTCACACATTTGCAGGGCTTCATGGAAACATCGAAGCGTCTTCTTTTATAAGTTCCTAGTCTACGACAAAATCTGTACATCGACTGTTATTTCATCATCATCATCATCATCATTATCTTTTAATTTTACATATTACATTTGTAACAATATTTTGGTTTAAAGCTACATGCCTCAAGATGAGTCAAAATATTGTAATAAAATTAAACTTAAGACTAATGTACTAAGATATAAGGAAAAGTAAAAAGTTTCAAGATTCAAGTAATATTTTCCATATTATAAGCGATTAATGACTGATTTTTCAGTACTTACAATTATAATTCTACTGCGTTACTAATGCAGTAAAGGCTATTTATGCATATTTTGACCACTGTTTGGTAATGTGCGTGAATTGAACGTGCCATTGCTGATGTATAAATTGTTTCCACAAGATTACACATTCAAATACATTTTCAAAATTTTCATGAAAATTGGTGTGAATCTGGAGGCTTGCTTCTTTAAATGTTTACAACGCACTGACTGGGTGTATAGCCAAGTAAATATAATCAATGGTAGTGTAAACATGTAGAAGATTATATTTATGCAATGGAGTGTTAAAAGTATATTCAGGGAAATTCATGACAAGAATATTAAAATGATCTTATCTGTTCAATTCACGCTAAAATGACATTTATTACGAATTTCTGTATAAATCTTAGATATTTTCGGTTTTAAGTGTAAATATATCTAAATAATTATGTTGAACGAAAATTAGACGGAGTAGTTTTAAAAGAAGTAATGTGACTGAACAAACCCTGGGAGTTATAACAGATATTTTGATATATGATTTAAACAAGTCTAAGCCGTTCATTTGACTTGTTCTTTAATGTTTTCAGACTTCATGTTGGCAACTATTGGGAAATTTTAACGCTCCTAACTGACCAACGTGGATCAAGTTTGGAAAACACTTTTTTATTCTTTATAAGGAGAAAAGTTTTGTTCCTGTGACTGAGAAGTGTATTTATTGTGAGGACATTTAAAGAATAAAGACTGAAATATTCAAAACGAGGAAATGAAAATTTTGCCTGTGTCTCCCTTTAAGTAAATTTCGATATGGAGATAAATGTGGAAAATTTGGACCTTAAAAGTGAAGAGGAAAAGAACACATCGGACGATAAAATTGTGGTTTCAAATAAGATGTCTCATGCAATAATATTAAAGAATTTATTCATTGTAAGTTTTGCATGTATGTTACAATTCAGTGCATATCATTCATTTGCAAATTTACAAAGTACATTAAATAAAGAAGACGGTCTTGGAACTACAGGTCTTGCATTACTGTTCGGTGTTATGGTGCTTACAAGTCTATTTTTAGCCCCGATAAGCATGGGAAGAATATCTACTAAGTGGATAATGACATGGTCGATGTGCACGTATATAATCTACACGGCAACCGGGTTTTATCCGACCTGGTATACGGTCATACCTGCGTCAGTTATTATTGGCATAGTTAAGTATCTTACAATTTTATAGCACAACCATTTTATATCTATTCCTAAATCATGATATATTTTTCTTTTAAAAAACAAAATATGTTAGTGTTGATCTTAGAATACTTGTGATACACTAAGTTTTTTATGCCCCCGAAGGGTGGAAAATTAAAATCGAACCGTCCGTCTGTCTGTCAGTCACTCAGTCTGTCAGTCCGTCATTCCGTTATAGACAGTGGTGGTCGTGTCCGCTCTGAAACTTCAGTATGCATGAAAAAATGTTAATTTTTCTTTCATGTATGGAATAACAATATATGTATTGTGTGTCGCGAACAAGACTCGGGGTCCTACGACTAAGGTCAATGTTACTGTGAGTTCAAACTTTGTCATTTCTTTGTTGTATAAATATAGAAGTTGGTGGTCGTGTCCGCTCTGAAACTTCAGTATGCATGGAAGGATTGTAATTTTTCTTTCACATATGTAATAACCATAGATGTACGGTGTGTCGTGAACAAGATTCAGGTTTCTACCACTAATGTCAATGTCACTGTGGAGGTTCAAACTTAGTCATTTTTTATATTATATAAATATAGAAGTTGTGGTCGTGTCCGCTCTGAAACTTCAGAATGCATGGAAGGATTCAAGTGTTTCTTTCACATATGCAATAACCATAGATATGTGGTGTGTCCAAACAAGACTCGGGGTTTCTACGAGTTAGGTCAAGGTCACTGTGGTGGTTCAAACTTTGTCGTTTGTTATGTTATAAAAATAAAGAAGGTGGTAGTTGTGTCCGCTCTGTAACTTTCGTATTCATGAAAGGATTGTACTATTTCTTTCATATATGAATTAACTATAGATGTATGGTGTGTCGCGAACAAGACTGAGGTTTCTACGACTAAGGTCAAGGTCACTGTTGGGGTTCAAACTTTGTCATTTTTTGTAATGTAACCATAGAAGGTGGTGGTAATGTCGCTCTGGAACTTCAACATGCATGTAGGATTTTAACTTTCTTTCATATATGAAATAACCATATATATATATGGTGTGTCGCGAATACGACTCGGGTTTCTACGAGTTATGTCAACGTGGGGGTTAAACTTTGTCATTTTTATGTTATATAAATATAGAAGGTGGTGATCGTGTTCGCTCTGAAACTTCAATATGCATGAAAGGATTGTAATTTTTCTTTCACATTAGAAATAACCATAGATGTATCGTGTGTCGCGAAAAAAACTGGGGTTCCTACCACTAATGTCAAGGTAACTGTGGAGGTTCAAACTTTGTCAATTTTTATACTATATAAATATAGATGGTGGTGACTGTGTTCGCTCTGACACTTCAGTATTTTTGAAAGGATTTTAATTTTCTTTTATATATGAAATAACCATAGATATATGGTGTGTCGCAAACAAGACTCGGGGTTTCTACGAGTTAGGCCAAGGTCACCGTGGTGGTTCAAACTTGGTCGTTTTTATGTTATAAAAATATAGAAGGTGGTGGTTGTGTCTGCTCTGTAAATTCTGTATTGTACTTTTTCTTTCACATATGAAATAATCATAGATGTATGGTGTGTCGCGAACAAGACTGCGGTTTCTACGACTAAAATCAAGGTCACTTTTGGGGTTCCATCTTTGTCATTTTTTGTTATATAATTTTAGAAGGTTGTGGTAATGTCCGCTCTGAAACTTGAACATGCATGAAAGGATTGTAATTTTCCTTTCATATATGAAATAACCACAGATGTATAATGTGTGGCGAACAAGGCTCGGGGTTCTACGACTAAGGTCAAGGTCACTCTTGGCGTTCAAACTTTGTCAATTTTTATTATATAAATATAGATGGTGGTGGTTATGACCGCTCTGAAACTTCGGTATTCATGAAAGGATATTTATTTTGCTTTCACATATGAAATAACCATAGATATATGGTTTGTTGGGAACAAGACTGGGGTTTCTACGATTAAGGTTAAGGTCGATCTGGGGGTTCAAACGTCGTCAACTTTGATGTTAATATTCATATAGGCAGAGACTGTCGTGTCTGCTCTGAAAGTTATATGCATGAAAGGATTATATATTTTTCAACATATGAAATTATCAAAAATTTATAATGTGTTGGCCTTAAGACCCGTGTTCCTACGCCTTAGTTCAATGTCACTGCTAGGGTTTAAACTTTTTCAATATTTATGTTATATACATATAAATGGTGGTTGATGTGCCCGCTCTGTAACTTTAATATACATGAAAGTTTCAATTTTTATTTAAAAACATAGTCACCATAGATGGACAATGTGTTGTGAACAAAACCCAGGTTTCTTTGTCTTACTTAAAGGTCTCTGCTGGGGTTCGAACCACGTCAATATTTACCACCATATTTAACATATAATAGGTGGTTTATAACTAAAACTCTTCTGGTGGCATTTGTCATTTTAAAAATTTGTTTGAAACGCCGTGTGAATTATCTCATTTATTGTACAAATTAGATCGCAAAGAAACAGTCTGTGTTCGTTCAAGATATAACAGATTATAAATGAGCGATTGAAAGTAAATAAATACAGAAAATGAAATTACATGAATTTCAATTTCAACTTTGAATAATGCACATGTATAGTTATAGCATTGCGATGATGGCATAAGCCAGGACATTAACATATTAAACACAGACACTAGTACCTAGTAAATAAAGTAATTATTTATACATGCTAATCGCTATTATGAAAATGCCTTTTTTTCATTTTTTTTATTTAAAGAGCAAACGTTTGTATAAACGCATATTATTTGTAGGTGCCGCTCATTTTTGGTTGGCAATGCCAGCGTATGTTATTGACATTGCTAAGGGTTACGCCCAAATTACTGGCACTGTGGATCAGGATAGAGTGACCTTCTTTTTTGGTATTGTTTTTGCTGCAATATATACAAGTAAGTACATCAACATTATATTATGAAAAAGACGAATAACTAAGTACTCGAAGCAACGTGTAAAAACTCTTAATTCAAGTTGTAAAACATATCGGATAAAAACTTGGGGAAATGAACCAATACCTTTCCAATTTTCATTCAAATAAAATATGCCTTAAACTATGATAATTATTTGTAAATATCTACTGGTTAAGAGGATCTCCAATATAACTAATAACGTGATAATGACGCCATTCACTATCAAATAGGTAACCAAAAGATATTTTCAAATACTGTAACCCAATTTTTATTCGCGAATACAAATTTTCGCGTTTTGTCGAGGTCGGACATATTCGCGAATATTAATTTTCGCGTTTTCTTGATTTCCGAATAAAAAATATTCGCGTATTGGAAAGTCCGATTGGGCTGTAAAATCCATTAGCCGAATATTAATCTTCAATAATTGAGGTCATTATCGGTGTCTTAAATGGGATTAACAATACGCTATCCTTATTTTGTATTGGTAAGTGAATTGTGATCACAATTCAGCAAAACATTTTCTCTATATATGTACATGTTCGCATCGTTCGTCTTCATTTCTAAACATGTCGTTAAAAGGGTGGTTGATAAGAAATAAACCCTCAGAATGCAGGGATGTTTCGGCATCGTTTTTGCCTGATCATGATCTGGAAAGCACACCAGAAAAGAAAAAAATGATTAAACCGGCAAACGAAGCTGTATTTGAAAATTTTATCACAAAATCTCCAATCAGGGATCGAACCCACGCCGAGAAAATTATGTTATATGAGTCCGCAATCTAACCAACTGAGCTATACAGGCTGTTAAGTTTGACGGGTAAAAATCGATACTAGTATGAAACCATCTTGTATTTCACTGTAATTATGTACACCCAATACCATTTTGTGATGCTCGATAGGTTTATACCACCTTTGTCTTATCAATTCACTCAAACACTTATTTTATAGGATCCAAAAAAAAATAAATAGCCTTTTGTGATGCTCGATAGTTGCCCCACTTTTGTCAAACGATTTATTCAAAGAAAATTAAATCTGACACATGCTCCGTATAGTACCCTATACGGAACGTGATTGACAAAAGGCCTACAAGTATTTCATAAATTGTATTAAAATGTGGATGTTTTTTTTTATTGCTATATTGACATAGAGTTCTTTTGATATTTATAAAATAGTAGTAGTTTACTTAGTTTGTGTTTTTATTGCTTTATGGCAATATTCATAACAATTCATTACTTCCTAACAGGTGCCCGTAAAATTCAAATATATCCGGTCAAGTAGCTTTGCATGAACAACGTCTAAAATAAAAATGTCTCTCCAATTTATTCGCGAAATCGTGCGGACATATTCGCGCAAACAAATATTCGCGCTTCGTGGCCATCCGCGAATAAAGCGAATATTAATTGGTCGCGAATATTCGTTGGGTTACAGTAATGATTGTCATTGCTTTGGAAATTTGAAAGATTGTGTTCATCGTTGTGATATATATTGCATAATCTTCTATTTCTTAATATCACCTTAATACCATTAAGTTTGCAACTTCCGAATTTCCAGTTGTTATCTTCCCTCTAGACGGTCCTACTTAATAAATTATGTATATGCAATGAGTCTCATTATTACAAATACACATCAAATTTAATTTACTGTAAAATATGATGGTCTGTTTATTATTGCACAATTCCTGTACAATTTTTGCATTCCTATGTTACTGAAATATTTACGGTGAAATTGTACAAGCAATAAAATAAAACTGATAAAGAAATAAAGCAAATTAACCTATAAAATCGCTTATTGCCATTTTAGGTAACATATGGGGAAACCTTTTTTCATCTATGGTATTCAGACAGGACAGTACTAACGAGACGTTGGAGAGTAAAGACATTCATTGTGGACCTTCATATTGTCCTTTCAGAAAATATAACATTTCAGCTATTGTTCCGCCTTCACAAACGCAGGTTATATATATAGTTGATTTCAAACACTTAGACATTCATCGTTACAATGTAATCTTTGAAACGATAACAATGTATTACCTAGTCTGATGATATTCACATAGGCTTACACCATGCTATGTTACTTTTAGTAAGGATGCATTACTGCTGTTAATTCCCCATCATTAAAGCTGTTTTGTCAGGTCGAGAATTTACCTCATTTATTGGAAAATTTATTTACGTTTTTATCATTAAATGATAGTGTCATAATAAACTGTTATCTAACAGTTTAAACGTTATACGTATCTCCACACTAAAGTTTACTTATAGTCAAACTAAACATTTTTATAAACATAGCTATTTGTTTCTGGTGGTCTTTACGTTATTGTTCTTTCAGTTAGATCATTACACATGCCCTATTAGAATTTTTCTGATCCACGCAATTCCTTAAATCACTGTCCAGTGATTCTTTATGACTGCTTTTTGTTTGGCCCACTTTCTCTTTCAGTGACTAGTGTCTCTAAAGTTATGAATCACAACGTATGCTTTATCATTGTAGGTGTACACATTTACAGGATTTTGTTCAGGAATAACCGCCTTTGCAATATTGTTGATGATCGTCTTTTTGACCAACATAAGCACTGACAGCGGAAAATCGCATAGTGCTTGTAGACAAAGTCGAATGGTGGCAACACACATGTTCCGATCCAGAGACCAACAATTACTATTTTGTTCTTCAATATTTAGCGGTCTAGCAAGTGGATTCCTTATTGGAGATTTTACAAGTGTATGTAAAACGTGCTTAATCTTAGTGTTTTTATACAAAATAGGGGAGCTATTTCTTGCTTGAGTGGAAATTTTCTTTATTCACTTTCTTACTGCAATACAATGTTTTGGCAAAGGATCCAAGCTTATTTGAATAACAAATGTGATATATTTGTTTGATATATATCTTATCACTTTTTATCTGTATTTATCAGGTTTTTTTTGTTTTTTTTTGTCAAGCGTAAATACCATGGTTTCAATTGTGTGAACTTCCGGTTGTTTCTTATCTGTTTCTGTTAAGCAGTCAACTATATAACTTGTTCTAGTGGGTATAAGTTTAAATATATCATTTGTATTTCTGATTTCAATAAGAATTATAAACAAGATCTCAGTTACATTAAACTTCCTACTTGCATTTTAGGGAAATGAATATATCAAATGGACAAACTCAATATTGGTGAATATTTCTCATAAGTACTAATTCTTCATATGTTTCAAAACTGATACAATTGCTTTAAAAGAAATGATCACAATACTAATTATTGCCAGAATAAATAAAAATAAGTATATGAAGATTAAATTAAAACTTTGTTGTTGTTGATGTTCTTGTTAGCTAAATTATGTAATTATATGTGTTATGCTTGTCCTATATTTCAGGCATACATTAGTTGTCCATATGGGATACAAAATGTAGGATTTGTTATGATAACATTAGGAGTGAGCCAGTCTATATTCAGTGTTGTATATGGAAAAATAAATCAATACATTGGTCATATCGCAATATTTACCTTTGGTAAGTGTACCATTAAAAGAAATTTGCAGAACTATACAACTTTTCTCCTTTTGTAAATTGAATAACTAAGACTTATTTCAATTCAATATATCAACAATATCTATTATAGTAATTCCAAGTGTTTTTTCTACTAGTTACATGACTTGTTTTAAAACTACTCGGTTGGCGTATATATTTTGTTCAACGTTTACATATATAATTACACTTCAATCCCAAAATATATATAATTATATAGAAAGCCATACTAGGACTTTTAAACATGTCATCCGAGCATGAATTGAGTGAATAGGATAAATTTAATATTTTTGTCATTCATTTGCCTAATTATCCTTTTAGAGATCCTGTTTGTTGTAATTAAGGTTGGTACGACACTGAAGTGAAATTTTATATATGTATGCTTCTAAAACAGTTTCTAACATCGACGAATATGTAAAATAATTACTGCAAATATTTGTCAACATTAAATGCAATCATTAAAATATATGTATTCATTTCTTATTGAAATAATTGACTTAGACTTTATAGAAGATTAATTTCTAATTACCTCCCTTTATTGACATTGAAATGTAAATTCTATTCTGTAATATCTTTACAAATAATGCTTTTTTAAACTTACAATATTGATAAATCTTCATTTTGAGCATTATATTTATGATAAAAATCATAAACAATTTGGATACATGATCTTTGTATAATTCTTAGTTGACAGGATGTTTTACTTTTAGGTAAAAGGATCATTTGATACGTACAATTAATTGTCTTGATTAAGCATTCTCACATTGACAGGGTATTTTGGTATTTCTTTGATATTAGAATATATTTATTCCAATTTAAGGTAGTCTTACTCTAATGCTTTCCCGTCAAAGAATTCTAACATCTGCCAATATCGTAATATCGGTATTCAATGATTTTTGGCCGGGTTGCACAGGTGCAATTTCGGGTGGCGGACGGTGATTAAAAAAAAACAGTTTCCTCAGCAACTTCTTATCACAGCCTATTGTATTTTGCATACACTATTAACTAGTAGTCCCATATCCAGGGATTTGATTTCAGGTCTGTAGCTCATCCACTTCCTGTTTACCGACTTAGTTAAATTTTAGACATTAATGGTCAATGATAAGAAATATTTGTAACATTTTTCTCAGTAACTGCTTATCACAGCCTCTTGATATTTGGCAAACATCATTAACTGCTAGTCCCATACAGTGGTTATCGATTTCAGGTCTGTTGCTCATCCACTTCCTGTTTACCGACTTAGTTAAATTTTAGACATTAATGGTCAATGATAAGAAATATTTGTACCAGTTTTCTCAGTAACTGCTTATCACAGCCTCTTGATATTTGGCAAACATCATTAACTGCTAGTCCCATACAGTGGTTATCGATTTCAGGTCTGTTGCTCATCCACTTCCTGTTTACCGACTTAGTTAAATTTAAGACATTAATGGTCAATGATAAGAAATATTTGTAATAGTTTTCTCAGTAACTGCTTATCACAGCCTCTTGATATTTGGCAAACATCATTAACTGCTAGTCCCATACAGCGGTTATCGATTTCAGGTCTGTTGCTCATCCACTTTCTGTTTACCGACCAAGTTAAACTTTTGATATTAATGGTCAATGGTAAAAATCTTTTGTAACATCACAGCATCATGATATTTGGTATACAAATGCAACTCGACCTTTTCTGTTTTTGAAACAGTTTATAGGCGGAATTTAGAAACAAGCGATTAATGATGAATGATTGTAAATAATCTAATGCCTAAGAATTTGTAAACAGAATCTTCCGGAAATAACCGATTTTTTACGTTTTTGGCGGGATAGCATTACAGTAAGAATGCCTTAATTTTTTCTTTGTGACAGGTTCAGTGGCACAAGCCTCATTTTATATAACATTGTTGTTGTGGCATCCATTGCCGAATCAGTCATTTATAGTACATGTGCTTGCTGCTATTGCGGGCATATCAGGAGCAGCAATTGAACCAGTTATAACAGGTATTTGTTAGGGATAGTAGTCAAGTACAAAAGCATACAGTTACCACTGCTGCACATGTTGGGCTGTCTTTAAAATTTTTTTCTCATATCATGACAACGATACAATTTTATATGGGAAACTGCGTAACCGAAAAAGAAAATCAAAGTATTATGTGTAAAAATGAATTGTCATCCATATATATTTTTTACACTGACTTATTTTATGCTTAAAAAATCATTTTATTATTATTTAAAAAGTAAACTTTAAGCAGTCTTTATTATCTATGAGTGTAAAATGCGAGTTTAAATACGAATAGTGATTAATCAGTATAACTAATACATCAATGAAATTATTACTTGTAATTGTACAGTTAAAATTTTACATAATTCCATCCTTTCAAATATATCATACACAAAATAATTTGATCGATTCACACCACGTTTATAAATAATGTACGATAGATCAACGTTAACAAAAACGTAATTAGTGGCCAAGGCATACAGATCTAACTCATTTCACAGGAATTGTAAAGATGCGAAGAAAAGCAATATGAGAGATGTTTTACTTTGATTAAAATAAGAAGATACTCCTACATCAGAATTCCCTTTATCCCAAATATTATTACGTAGATGTGTAGCAAACATTCTCGTTTATTTGCATTTGCACTTTTGAATGCATTCGCCATATGCATAAAAACCGTAAGATAATAATAACGACAATTATAACCACAAATTGTATTTGCCGTGTATTATGCTAAATCTCAAAAACACATAAACTCATTACACTTGCATTGACAGACGATATTTTTAGCTTTTACTGAAAACGTCGTGTCCGTTTACTATTTATCATGCACTGCTTGTCACTTTATCATTTGTATAGTCAGATTTTGTTGACATGTCAATTATGAATACATTAAAGCACTCATATAAATATCTGATCCCACTTCGGATCTGTCAGTGTAGTTAGTGTATGTGAATTAATTAATGTTTTGAAAAGTCATATATTTTAATGTTTAAGTCGTCGTCACATCTACACATAAGAAAGCAAAAACAAAACAAAAAAAACAAAAACAAAAAACAACAAAAAGAACATGCACCTACGAGGTTTACAACACGTAGGACATTTAGAATTATAGTATTTAATCCTATTGCGCTTTAACGCTCAGTATCATTATTTCGAGGACACAAATTAAATCACGTATTACTGCATTCATCTCATTGAAGTTTCCGAAAATCTATCGAAGAGTAATATTTTTTGTGCATTGGCCATATAGTCAGTATTCAGTTGACAGGTTAATAAAAACAAACAATGGGTGAATATTCAAATGTTTGGTAAACAAACTTTATTTCACTCTCGATGAAACTCATTGGAACATAAATATCTCTAGTTATTTTTCCCCCCTAAACATTAGACTTATTATCTTTAAATTATCTATTTACACCGCTACTGCCAATTTATAAAGTTTTATTTATTAAAATTATTATAATAAAAAAGCAAATATGGTGTGTTATTGATTCGTCATATAGACAAAAGATGTAATCCGGAACATGGCATATGTGGGGATGGCCAAGCTTATCTCCAGGTAAAAACTTTTACCGTAAGAACTATCGGTGACAATAGTTTAGTCTGCCTGTTGCGCTTTTTTCGAAGCTGTAACTGTAAAATTCTCTTCGTATCCCCGGAATCAAAAATATTCTTATTTACTAATTATATATGACGTTTATACTGAGCCATATAACATATCAAATATCTTTATAAATACTATCCAAAGCATCTCTATTTTTCAGCTCTTCATAACCTTTATTTTGTCGAGAACAGGGACATTGCTCTATCTAGCTTTCGTCTTCTCAACTCAATAGGATGGGCAATATCCTTCGGATACAGTAACTGGCTGTGCTCAAACGTTAAGATGTACATACTGATTGGTGTATTACTTACGTCTTTAGCAACCAACAGTAATTTATCTCGATGTGAAACATAGACAGAGGAGAGGAAGAAGCGAACAACACGCAATAACGGAATAGGATACGGTTCCAGAAGATCTGATTTCAAACTGAATGTTATAAACCATTGAATTATAGCAGCGTTTATTACTTTTCTTTGCCACTAGAAGTGCATTTGATACTTTGATATTGAGACCGCTTGTGAAATCCTATTTCAAATCATGGATAGTCCATATTTATAAACCATGTTGTGTGTGGGTTGAAACACAATTTGGATTTTGTGATAAGTGATTTTATAAATAAGCTTAACACGGGTTAGGCCTATAAGCATTTCATAATGACAGTAAGACAGTCAGATATCAATTCCATTCTGCATATTAGTCACTCCTATTTGGCTGCTTACTCATTTTCTACCCTTGAAAGTGAATAGTTCTAAACAGTTAATATGCTTTCATATAACCCCACCCAAACGCAAAGACTGTTTATGTATTTAGAAGAAAAATGAAATATGTGTAAACGGCCGGTTTTCTCAGTTTGTAGAGCTTTCGAAACTCAAGGGTTAAAATCAGGTTAGTCTGTATAATCTTCTCACCTTCGTAACATAATCATAAGGAATCACCATTGCTTAGATTGATTTGACATTTTACATCTTTTATCACAAATTTGTTACGTTAAATTGTCTATACATGTACTCTCTGAAAATCCTCGTTTAGAATTTATGGTCAATTTCCGTTTTTTCCTTAACTCACTGCATGTAGTATATAATAATACTAAAACAATGAATTTCATAGTATAGTATTGTGTCAGTTTGTGCTGAAGTTATATAGTCATGCTTGCGGTAGTTCGAACCTTAAAGATTGTAGATTGTAGTAAACATACAGTAAAGATAAAGAATTTAAATGTATTTAATTCTCTGCGAAGCACAGTTTCAATTACTTCTGTTAAACACGTTGCCCATACTACGTGAACTAATTCAGGTTTTACTTTCTGACAACTTTTTGTAAATATTTCATTCTTTTAGAAGAGGCGGGGGTGGAGGCTTAACGTGTCGAAAAGTGACACCGCATAAATATCTGTTTGCTAATTTCGCAGTCTCATTTTATGTTGAACATTTGTGTGGACTTGACTTAAGCGATATACGTCTTTTATCAGAACTATTCATGCTGTTAAAGGCGAAGACCGTCCATTTTTCCCTAAATATCATAATCGAGGTATCAATGAATCAAGAATTTTATATTTCTCTATTAAGGTCATAACATTCAGTGTATATAACCTTTACCTATTCATCACCAAATAAATGATGGAAGTAAGTAATGAAAGACGCATTAGTATGTATCTACACTTCATTGACAAATCGACATAAAAAGGAGTATTGCATGAAAGACGCAGTTACCATGTATCTACCCATCGAACCGGCTGTTCAAAGAAAGGAAACGTTACATGAAAGACGGAGTTACCATGGGCTTAACATACACTCCGGTTCTTCACTGACGAATCCACGAAATAGGATGTGAAACACATGCTAAAAAACATATATACTAGCATTTAAAGATTTCTTGATCTAGAACAAAGATAATCGTATGCAACATACTTGTATTTAAAAGCATGTTTGGTAATATAGTTAGGAATAAAATATGATTCAATATTTTTAACTGGACTACGTGAAACACATGTTAAAAAACATATATACTTGCATTTAAAGATTTGTTGATCTAGAACAAAGATAATCGTATGCAACATACTTGTATATAAATGCGTGTTTGGTAATATAGTTAGGAATACAAAATGATTATCAATATTTTAACTGGACTACGCGTTACATTTCTACATAAATCGTTTCTTTCAATTTAATATTCCTGCAAAATAAACTTATGCATCGAAAGTTGAATTAGAACATTCTGCATTCATATCGAATTACCTGCGACAAAAATGAGTATTTTTCAATATCGCTATAAATCATCATTAACAAAAATCATTTTTAGCATAGTACATAATTATGATCACCTGTTTGCACTTTTTTCATAAAAAAGACAAATATTGAACTATAAAAACAGGAAACTATGGCTATAATGAAAAGAATAACTTTAATTGAAAAAAAATGATTAAGTCGAAAATCACAGTCCTTTCACAGTAAATATTTTTTTAATGTGACATACAAAATTAGTAAATAAGAAATAAATATGGTATATAAGCTGTTTATTACAAAAACATATTATTTTTCACGGTTTAAGGCTCATTTGGAATATGTGGAAAAATGACAAATTTAAGATTTATGTAAAATTACCATTACAATGCAGATATTTTGCTAAAAGGTAGAGCCTTCATGCATAAATATGATCTTGTAAAAATACAATATCCTTACTAGGTAATAATTTGTATATTATGATTTGGTATTTTATGTCTAAATATTCACAAACTGTCTATGAAACTGACATTAACCCATCCACTTTCTCCGCACTGAAAAAAATCCCTAGTTTAGACACAACTTCATCTAAAGTTTTTATTTTTAATTTGTAACCCCAGGTTGACCTGCAGAGTTCTTTTCAATAAATACATCTCTCAAATCATCTTCCCCACTTCTAGAATAAATTGTCTTCAAATGTTGAATATTGAGTCCTGATCCTGCAATATTGTCCACAGTCGGACTCTTACATATGCATTGAGACTCTAGAGTGTCTAAATATCTTATATTTATATTCTTCTGTTTGTTAAATTGCATGTTTTATAACACAGCTTCTGAACTGAATGAACAGCCGGATTCGCAGTAATAAGTTATTGCCTAATGAAAACAAGTAATTTTATTTTATTTCAATAATGCTATATTACATCAAAATCTCATGTATCAAATAAAGATATCAAAACTGTAATTTATTTGATCTGAACTATATGAGCAGCGTTACGAAAAAACCAACGTAATGCGTTGCGCAGTCTGATCAGGATCCATGCTGTTTGCTATTAGTTTCTCTATTTGAAATAAGGTTTGTAAGCGAACAGCATGGATTCTGATCAGACTGCGCGGATGCGCAGGCTGGTATGGATCCATGCTGGTCGCAAACGCATTATGTTGGGTTTTTCGTGACGCGGCTCATATATAGACGTATTTTATTTTCATTTAAAAGAAGAAAAAACTAAAAAAGTCAATGGCGTATCGTTATATGTAATAACATGTGATGGAATAGTCACAAATTGAACAATTGGTTATATATTTAGATGGTTGACAATAATAAAATAGGAGGGTTATTGTAAGATGTCACATTAATTCACGTTCAGTTCTATTTTCGTCAATTGTTATCTCACATGCTCAAAATCTGTTATCAAAATATTCATACATGATGGACGGGTCTCAACAATTAATAAATGCATAAATGAGGAATAATGTACCTTTAAAATGTATAAAGCTATATATTTGCTGTTTGTGGATTATTAAAGTACTGTTTAAATTGTGATTCAAATTATTACTGAATACCTAGAGTTTAAGAAATTTATCAGTATATACAAAAAAGAGTGGGACATGCATGTTTTCATCACCCAACCTATTAAAATAGCAGCGGGATATTTTGTTCTGGAATCTTTTTTATTTCGTTTGCGTACAGTATGTATATAAGATTACATAGAGACTCTATGACATCTTTCAAGAAAAAACAATAAGGGTATAAAAACAACATAATTTTGATAAAATATTCCATCAGATATAGCTTGATTCACTTTAATACATGCATAATAATTTTATTCTAAACTTTTAACTTTATGTATTTGTCAAAGAAGAAGCAATGTGTCATTACGTCTTTTGCATAATTATTATCTTTTAACATGATTATTAATAGTTTACACCAGTCCTGTGCCCATTTAGACAAGTTAATTCGAGCTAAAATGTATGGTAAACGTTACAGGGGTAAACCTTACAGGGTAAGACCGTTGTGGTTTTGGATCAGCTTGGCTAGCTAAAACATATAAATATGCAAGTGACAATTAACAAAACCCTCGTATTTTTAAATCGTATTTTGCGATATTCTGGCTCGATTTGAATGTTTCTCGTTGCAATGCTAGCATGACATTATTGCAAAACAAAACTAAAGAATGAATTCGTTTGCCTCATCTCAATTAATTATCTTTGCCACGATTTAAAATCCGAGCAATAATAAAAGGCATGAAACTGGTCAATTTATTCTTTTCGTTTGTAAAATATGACATTATTATAAGTCAAATGCTGAAGGAAAACCATTCATTCGACTTATTGGTATTATATCAAAAATGATACATGTGTTAATTGCAGCCTTCAGGTCGCACCTTCATAACCGGTAACAACTCTTACATCTGTTAAATCTTTATCATTTCCCGTAAAGAACTGATGCGACGGTCAGAATGCGATTAGTCGCATGATAATCGCTGGAAAACCCCGACGGTTTCACTAAGTGTATGTTACATCCTTATATGTAAACTTACTAAGGTCACGTGACATACGCTCACACACCTTGTAAACTAACAATATTTTAGTTTAAATGTTTACAACGCACTGACTGGGTGTATAATCAAGTAAATATAATCAATGGTAGTGTAAACATGTAGAAGATTATATTTATGCAATGGAGTGTTAAAAGGTTTTTCAGGGAAATACATGACTAGAATATTAAAATGATCTTATCTATTCAATTCACCATAAAATGACATTTATTACGAATGTCTGTATAAATCTTAGATATTTTCGGTTTTAAGTGTAAATTTATCTAAATATGTTGAACGAAATTTAGACGGAGTAGTTTTAAAAGAAGTCATGTGGCTTGAACAAACCCTGGGAGTTACAATAACATATATTTTGATATATGATTAAAACAAGTCTAAGCCGTTCATTTGACATATTCTTTAATGTTTTCAGAGTTCATGTTGACAACTATTGGGGAAAATGAACGCGCCTACCTGACCAACGTGGATCATGTTAGAAAAACACCTTTATTTTACTCTTTATTAGGAAAAAAGTTTTGTTCCTGTGACTGAGTAGCGTATTTTTGAGGACATTAAAAGAATAAAGAATGAAATATTCCAAACGAAGAAATGAACATTTTGCCCTTGTCTCCCTATAAGTAAATTTCGATATGGAGATAAATGTGGAAAATTTGGACCTGAAAAGTGAAGTGGAAAAGAACACATCGGACGATAGAATTGTGGTTTCAAATAAGATGTCTCAAACAATAATAATAAAGAATTTATTCATTGTAAGTTTTACATTTATGTTACACTTCAGTGCATTTCATTCATTTACAAATTTACAAAGTACATTAAATAAAGAAGAAGGTCTGGGAACTACAGGTCTTGCATTACTGTTCAGTGTCATGGTGCTTACAAGCCTATTTATAGCCCCGATAAGCATGGGAAGAATATCTACTAAGTGGATAATGACATGGTCGATGTGCACGTATATTATCTACACGGCAACCGGGTTTCATCCGACCTGGTATACGGTCATACCTGCGTCAGTTATTATTGGCATAGTTAAGTATCTTACAATTTATAGCACAACCATTTTATATCTATTTCTTAACAATTCTAAATCATGATATATTTTTCTTTTTAAAACAAAATGTGTTAGTGTTGATCTTAGTATACTGTGTGACAAACTAAGTTTTTATGCCCCGAAGGGTGGCAAATTAATATCGAACCGTCCGTCTGTCTGTCTGTCAGTCTGTCACTCAGTCTGTCAGTCCGTCATTCCGTAACGACAGTGGTGGTCGTGTCCGCCCTGAAACTTCAGTATGCATGAAAGGATGTTAATTTTCCTTTCATATGTAAAATAACAATAGATGTATGGTGTGTCGCGAACAAGACTCGGGTTCCTACGACTAAGGTCAAGGTCACTGTGGGGGTTCAAACTTTGTCATGTTTTTGTTATATAAATATAGAAGTTGGTGGTCGTGTCCGCTCTGAAACTTCAGTATGCATGAAAGGATTTTAATTTTCTTTTACATATAAAATAAGCATAGATATATGGTGTGTCGCGAACTGGACTCGGGTTTTTTTTTCTTTCACATATGAATAAACCATAAATGTATGGTGTGTCTCGAACAAAACTGAGGTTCCTAAGACTTAGGTTAAGGTCACTGTGGGGGTTCAAACTTTGTCATTTTTTATGTTATATAAATAAAGAAGGTGGAGGTACTTTCGGCTCTGAAACTTCAGTATGTATGAAAGGATTTTAATTTTTTTCATATATTAACAATAGACGTATGGTGTGTCGCAAACAAGAGTCAGGTTTCTACATCTCAGGTCAAGGTCATTGAGGAGGTTCACACTTTTTTATGTTACATAAATATGGAATGAGGTTGTCGTGTCCGCTCTGAAACGTCAGTATGCATGGAAGGGTTCAAGTGTTTCTTTCAGATATAAAATAACCATAGATGTATGGTGTGTCGTGAACAAGATTGGGGTTTCTACCACTAGTCAGTGTGGAGGTTCAAACTTTGTCAATTTTTATATTATATAAATATAGATTGTGGTGGTCGTGTCCGCTCTGAAACTTCAGTATGCATGAAAGGGTTTTCTTTTACATATGAAATGATCATATATATGTGGTGTATGCAAACAAGACTCATGGTTTCTACGAGTTAGGTCAAGGTCACTGTGGTGGCTCAAACTTTGTCTTTTTTTATGTTATAAAAATAGAGGTGTTGGTAGTAGTGACCGCTCTGTAACCTCGTATTCATGAAAGGATTGTTCTTTTTATTTCATATAAATGAATAAACCATGGATGTATGGTGTGTCGTG